CGGGGACAATCAACCATTATCGGGTGCTGTAGACCGTGGTATGATTGGTGTTGCACCTAAAGCAATATTTCTGGCGTACCTTGTTTTATGAGGCTAATGGTATTTCTGTAAAATATTTACAATAATGCCATCTTTTCACCTTTCTGAGGACAATACGACGATATTTGTGACGATTGCTAATGTGTTGTATGCGTTACCCGCCGAATCGTGTGCAGCACAGCTGGCACAGTAGTGGTAATGGGTCGACACCACTAATGTAGAATCGTGACCATGGCCAACGGCCATTAGGAATACGTCTCGGACACACAGGGACTTGACACGGAATTCCTAACCCATGGTCCATACTTATGTATTATAATTACAGGGGGAAATCAAATTCATTTATACATATATTGAAAATGTGGTGAATTATCCGTGCCCAGTATATATAGAAAACAGATAAAACACTTGAAAACACATGATGTGAAACAATAGCGCTTTCATTTCTCCTTTTTTACTATGTAAATATGTAAAACTTCTGAAGAAGAAATGAAAGCGCTTATGTTTACATCATGTGTTTTTTAGTGTTTTAACTTTTTTCTATATACATATATATATGTATTTGCTACGTGCCTTAAATCCGAGTCACATACGGTACATTAAAAAAATGTTTTTTCACTGAGAGCTTGATAAACGAAATTTGTCAAGTATTGATCAAGTTATAACTTGGAGAATTCGGAAATATATATGCCCGGTTTAAATGTTCATTCCTCTTTAATTGTTACCTTAATAACTTTGCAGAAATGTAAAAATCTATGCTTTAGGCGGTACCCCTATCCATGTTCACACAGCATGTCTTTCTAGATGTGATTGTTTTGATGTACCCATTAGAGACTAGCACGTGTTTCAACTGGACAGGTACATGTGTACCCAGCTATTTCTATACATATTTCCGAATTCATCAGGTCACAACTCGGTCAATACGTTGCCAATTTCGTTCTTCAAACATTCATTGCCACCCGAAAGATTAAACATTTCTCTTAAAGTAAATGTACTTGCCAGTAAGATCGAATATCTAAACAAGATCATTTTAAAGATATGTTCAGTTCCCGATCTCCTGGGTTACAACCCTGTCACTGTAATACATATATATGGACCGTGGGTTGGGTATTCGTGCCAAGTCCCCGTGTCTCGGACATGTTTGCACGCTGCAACCGCTAGAGGGCGCGTTTACCTCAAACAGAAAAAAAAATCGATAAAGATGTACTCTTTGTATCGTACCTGAGTTTCGTCATAATTCTGGCTCCAACGATGATTTAATACTTTTGGTTGTTGTCCTGCCTTGTTAATCAATTATATAAGGCCACCACGCTTGAGAAATATCCTGAAACTGCCTTATTTCTGGTTCCTGTGTATTGTGTATAATAAATGATTTCCATGTATATTCTATACACTAAGTACTTCAATATATCGGAGCATTTTTTAGCTTCCCTTCAGACCAACAGATCGTTAAGGTTTGATTAAACCACAACTTCAAACACGAGTTAATGCAAAAATTCATGTACACAAAATATGACGAAACCAGAACCGAAAAATTCACAGAACATTTTTTTTCTGATTCTCTTTAAAAACATGCATTTCTTGGCAGATATATAGCCATCAAAACATTTGTTACAATACTAACAGTCAGAGTTTGAAGAGTTGAAGGTCATTTTCGCTTGAGATAGAAAAACAAAAAACAAGATGACAAAGCATAATTCCGTACACCATTCAAAGAAAAACAAAAACAAACACGTTTTTAACAGCCACTGAAACTTTCACTTGAATATGAAATATATACGAAAGCGATTAAAAAATTTAAGATAAATTAAGGTACAATATACCTGCGTTTCATTAAGCTTCGATGTCCATATCGGATTGCAAAGTTTCTGAGGTCAGATATTCTCAAGCAGTAAGAAAATCACAACAGCTAGGTAATTTAATTCTGAAATGTGACGTATTTACTATTGAACAAGTTTACCCAGTTTACCAGTTGCTAATATTGTCATGGTAACCGTGCCAGAAAAACATGACATTGTTAACCCCTAGTGCCGAATGTAATTGACCGCAAAAACCCTTATTCATTTTTTTTATTTACCATATAATGACCTTATATCAAATGACAACATTGTCTGCCAAGTTATTTGTCGCTACATGTAAACATGTTTGTTTCACGCGTATAGGTGACTTACATCCATCCACATGTAAGACTTTACCAAACTGTTAATTAATATTAAGGCTATATAGTTACTGCACACACAGCCTTAGGGTGATCACTTTCGGTATCGGCTAGAATCGATAAGGGACGTACTCATTCTACCCGGGGTATACACAATGTTACGCACGGCTGGTAGGTTCGCTCTCCATAGTCGCATCAGACGTAGCTACTTGTTGGTAAGTTTGTCACAACATAACTTTTATTTGTTTATCGATATATTGACATTGTGTACCTCTTTAGATTTAAGTTTGTCCTTTCCCGTGAAACTGGGATCTTTGGGATTTTTTTCTTGGCCATTACTCCTTGCCGTCATATCTTTTATGATACGTACGTCACCTGAAGTAAAGGTCACGTGGACCAGTCATTGTGTCAAATTTCAAACATCATTTAGGGAAGGGAACATTTCTTTCTTTACAATGTGAGGACATGTATAACTTTGTAAATCGGTGACATGTATTACTTTGTTACGTAGGGACATGTACAACTTTGTAATGTAGGGACTTGTATTACTTTGTAATGTGTGAACATGTATTACTTTGTAATGTGTGAACATGTATTACTTTGTAATGCGGGGACCTGTATATGTAATGTGTGAACACTTTGTAATGTGTGAACTTGTATTACTTTGTAATGTGTGAACATGTATTACTTTGTAATGTGGGGACCTGTATCACTTTGTAATGTGTGAACATGTATTACTTTGTAATGTGGGGACCTGTATTACTTTGTAATGTGTGAACATGTATTACTTTGTAATGTGTGAACATGTATTACTTTGTAATGTGGGGACCTGTATTACTTTGTAATGTGTGAACATGTATTACTTTGTAATGTGGGGACCTGTATTACTTTGTAATGTGTGAACTTGTTTTACTTTATAATGGGAGGTGGGAAGGGGGCTGCGATTCTTTCTAATGAACTTTAAAGACATCTTATACTATATATTGTAGACAACATTATAATACTGTAGTATTTTTATGTATGTATGGAGACAAGTGTTTACATGTGATGTTTAAGACATCATCATGTATCATTTTATCAATAGATAAATGTTGGTGATAAAACACGCACAAACTTGTGTTATTTTAAGGATTTTATCATTTCACAGCGATTTACATGCTATGCTTCGCTCTGCTCTGACATTTGAAAGCTGATCTAACACCTGTCTTGTCAGTTTGCTCTGGCCGAAATTGACCACATCGGCCTAAAGTCAGGGTGGTGTGTACAAGACCAATTTCCCCGAATGCTCCCGTAATTTTAACCAGAGGGACATTAACAAAGGAAAATCGATAATTACTCGTCGACTACGTAACTCGTCTGTACTGGCCATCTGATGTCCGTGGCCATAACGACCGGCCAGATGACCGGTAGTCGGTACACATGTTTACATTGACCTTGTTCGGGCTTTGTTTGAGCAGCTTTGTAGAAACCTAAGGTCAGGAATATTCACATATTTTTTAAAGGGGAGACAATCGTATGAGTTACGAGTAAACACTGTAGAAGGGAGACAACTGTATCAACTAGGTGTTGTTAATTCTTTTTAATGATTTCGTTATATACAGCATGATTTCGAACAGAAATCTTTATGAGTTAAAGAACTCTTAAACTATACTTTGCTATGTTACATGAATGTCACTGTTCGAAATAATGGTGGTGTTTGGCTATTTGTAATGGCGGTGACAGACATGGCATGACAATGTTGATGCGTCTCGGTTTCTGTGAGATCGCTCCAGTATGATGACAAACACCTTTCTGTGTGTTTATCTCTGTGTATCAGAGGCACCAACGGTGACGTTTCCTTCCTCCTATCAAATAAAAGCGACAGACCTGTGTACATCGAGTTGTTGCCGAGTTTGCGTGTGACTGTGATATCTGGGATGTTAATGACGGGGACAAGTCTAGGCCGAGCGGTGTTTGTACCTCAAAGTCACAGGAGAATCAAAAGACTGTTGATGAGTCAGGTAAGAGATGTAAATCAAAGCGAACCGTGTACAAGGGAGACCGTGCGGATAATCGCCTCCATATAGTATTGATCTGCTACACGTACCTGGTGCTCACATTTGATAATTAGAACGGAGCTATGAATTGGGCTAAATGATTATAATGTATTGGAAGTGAATGGAAGTCTGATTAGAGGTGAGGTAGAGCGGTACAACACACAGGTACAGTCAGCCATCATTGGCTCCTTGCGGCGCGTGTCAGTCGTACGGTTCTGTTCTTCCGGCACGCGATCATAGGTCCACGGGAGGGGATAGTCCGGGTCCATTGTACTCCGCTTAGCAGGTTTGGCAAAGGGTGCACGCCATTGGCCAATTCGTCCATTGTGTCCTGTCCGCCATCGGCAACAGCACGGGTTATGTTATTAATATGATAAAATGGATCAATAGTGACCTCTGCCGCTCCGCTCGCCCATGGTGCTTTGTTCTGCCAGACAAGGGTACGGGGAAGAGGCAACAGCCTGAACGCACTCGGGTACTTCATATCAATATTTCACCAGTTCGTACACACATGCATTATCAAGATCCGGTTATTGCCACAAGCTTAATGTGTACTGTTGTGAATAGTCTTATGGATTGCCGTTCATAAAGTTATATCTACCAAGGCGCGAGTGAACTCTTTATTAATTGGTAAAGTCTTGGTAAGTTCTTCTTACCAAATATTGTCATTGTTTCAGCGCCTCATCGGCTCGGTACATGGACATCAGAGAATTGGTTAAACCTGTACTTTGTTCAATTATCGAGAGACGTTATTTTTTTTCTTCCAGGAGAGTATGTCGAGTGCTGATAGTGTAGCCAGTGGTGAACAAAGTCCCTCGCCCACAGCCGAGGACGCCAACGGTAACCACACCTCCGTATTAAAACAAGGTACGTCATCAGTTAATGTTTTTAACAGTTATAAAGATAGAAGATGATTAAATAATCGAAATATGGACAAAAAAACGCTGATTTAGACTGAGTCATACTGAACTCGTGCTTAGTGTTGTTTGTCAAGGGAACCAGTCCACCGTGTTGTTGAAAATTGTGAATACTCTATGACAGAGTTGGTTTATAAGACTTCATCTCCAGTAAACTTTAATTAATTTTTCGTGTTTCTGACTCCTGATACTGATGTAATGAGTTGATGATAACAGTTAAGTACGATTTTACATTAGGTTTTTACAAAAGACATTTTCAGATCTCCTGAAATATTTAATGCATGGATTTAGAATATGACAATTTTTATTTAACCATAATTAGACCGCTGGAAAATCTCTGGCGTATCCAACCACTTAAATAAACAATTATTTGGCTGTTTTAATGAATTAAACAAATATTTTTAAATGTCACCAATATGGACCACGTAACTCTGATGATGCCACGGGTTTTCTTCGGTAAACTACAGTCCCCGAGGACTAGCGCTAAATGTACGCAAGCAACATCCATTTTTGTATAGCTATGAAGTTTTATAAAGTGGATAATCTTTCAACATTGGAAATGTCAGCAAACTTTAAGTGGCGCTTAGGGAACAGGGTATGTCACATGACATGAGAAGTTACTACTGGAGTGATGTCCTAACTTTGTGCTGTGAGCCAAGTCCTGCAGCAACTGACACAAAAAAGGCACCGTGTTGGATTACTGCACACGGAGAAGGCGTGCAACACTGGCTCATAGCTTTAAAGTTTCAAACCAAAGTCATTTGAGGTATCTCAATACTTAAAACCTAAGCACCAGCGGGTATTTAACTTATATGGGAGTGATGTGACTGCTCCCGACGGAGGTGTTGTAGAACCCTCACGCTACACGGCTGAGGGGCCCGCATGTTGTTTGTGCCTGGTATTCTATTGCGTTGGTCGTGTCTCCGATTTACAACCTTAATGATAGTGCATCGTGTCCTGTTACAGGGCAGTGTGCCGACCCGCGCGGGCGAAACTGGGTAAACACTGGCACACGTTCTAAGATTTCAAATAGCCACAATTACACAATTTGAAACGGTAAATCATCTAGAATGACTATCTTGCCGGTCGTTTCTTACTAAATAGGGGTACAGGGACTGAAAATAAGAAGGATTGAAGGCACCGCCTCGTCTACATAGTCTCCAATATGACGTCGTCTGGTCATAGCAATGAATATCCATTGGTGTTCTATTGACGTTAGTGACTGAAGACCACTGCCTAAATTTCTCACGATGGAGATTTAACCGTGAGGTCATCACTTTCCTGTTACCGGCAGTACGTTATCGAACACAGCTAAGTTCGGAGACTGCATTTCTTCAGACCAATGCAAAACATGATACTGTATCTTGGTAACATAATCCAGGCAAAACTCAATTACATTTGTCAGTTTTGTTACAAGTGATATTTATCAAAGCAGTAACAGATAGGTCGGATGGTCGGAGCAGTACACATTTGTTTACCAGAAAATGTAACAGTCTCCCGTTGACAGTTATGGCCAGTTCATCGCGAGAAAATTAGTTTTAATATAAAAAAATATTTTTGAAATATATAACAGATATATAACATTGTAATTCCGGGTATATCACTTAGGTTTGTTACTCCGGGTGTATCACTAAGGTTTGTTACTCCGGGTGTATCACTAAGGTTTGTTACTCCGGGTGTATCACTTAGGTTTGTTACTCCGGGTGTATCACTTAGGTTTGTTACTCCGGCTGTATCACTAAGGTTTGTTACTCCGGGTGTATCACTTAGGTTTGTTACTCCGGGTGTATCACTTAGGTTTGTTACTCCGGGTGTATCACTTAGGTTTGTTACTCCGGGTGTATCACTTAGGTTGGTTACTCCGGGTATATCACTAAGATTTGTTACTCCGGCTGTATCACTAAGGCTTGTTACTCCGGGTGTGTCACTAAGGTTTGTTACTCAGGGTGTATCATTAAGGTTTGTTACTCCGGATGTATCACTTAGGTTTGTTACTCCGGGTGTGTCAATCAGGTTTGTTACTCCTTGTGTGTCAATCAGGTTTGTTACTCCGGATGTATATTAAGGTTTGTTACTCCGGGTATATCACTTAGGTTTGTTACTCCGGATGTATCACTAAGGCTGGTCATTTTTTTTATACATGACTAAGTTCATTACTCCGAATTATTGTGAAAGCTCGTTACTCCAGATAAATCCCGAAGGATTGTCACTCCGGATACATCACGGAAGATCGTTACTCCGGGAAAAACGGAGGTTCATATAATGTAGGCGAATTATTCCAATACTTAACATCGATTCCATGACCAGCTTCCAACAAAGGGCAGTGTTGGGGTCGTTTTGTGTTACGGTCAACAACATATGTACTGGTAAGAAATACAATTGTTTCATTATGTTGTTATGTAATCGTTTGTTAAGAGAGATACATGGATCAGCCATCATCCCCAAATCAATGATGCTTTTGTAAAAGAGCCTTTCCATGCTATCTTGAGACGTAATGGAAATTCAGATCTTCATTTCATCGACTCATGATATAACGCTTGTATAGAAGTCCATACACCAATTGGCAATTTGCTATTTTTTTTATTTCATAAACTCAATACCGATTACACATCAAGTCTTTCATTCTGTACATCCAAATCAAAGAAGAAATTTACGGAGGACGAAATCATAAAAATGGTCGAGTTTCTGGTTGACAAAATCTTCGTCGAGTTTGGTGGTAAAATCTTCCAACAGACTATTGACATACCTATGGGAACCAACTGCACCCTTCTGTTGGCTGACTTGTTTTTGTTTTCTTACAAGACTGAATTTATCGAAGAGCTTATCAAAACAGGTCACAAAGACCTTGCAAAGTTGTTTCATTTAACCTTTCAGATATATCATATATTTTTTTAAATAACTAGAAATTTATTGACTGCGTCCATCGTATATATCCACCATCACGGGGAAATCAGACATACGACAGACTCTTCTACATCAGCTACTTATCTCGATATTTTTCTACAACGAAACCAACATGGACAGCTTTCCATCAAGCTGTATGATAAATGTGATGATTCAAATTTCCGCCTTTTGAATTTTTTATTTCTGGATATCAATATCCCTGCATCTCCAACCTATGGTATTAACATGTCACAGTTGATTTGACATGCAAGGGCCTATTCCTATTATCACGATTTTCGTGCAAGAAGTCGCCAAGTGACTGACAAATTCGTAACACAAGGGTTCAAAAGATGCAGGTTGATAAAAATTATGGGGACGTTTTATGGTCGCAGTAGTGGCCGTATTGAGAAATATTCCATTTCTTTGTGTGACATGAAGCTGGACGTATTTGATTCTCGTTAGTTTGCCTGTTGGTTCCGTTGTTGTATGCATTGTTCTCATTTGAGAACGTGACATTACTTACTTGGAGTGATCAAGGTTCATATGGCGGGAATCGTCGATGAAGCAGAAAACGTTCACTCTTCCGGAACACCTGGTCTTTTTCTCCTTGTGCGTTTTGATGAGTCTCCGTGTAAATCTTTCGTTTGTTCATATTTTGCCATAGTTTTATGGATTGAAGTTATAATTATGATTATGTTGCAAAGTTGGTATTTTATTGGTGTTTTTTGTAGACTGAAAACCAATCACCTATCGAGTCCTTCATTTTGTAGTTTCAATACCAGTCGCACCAGGTGGTGAAACCAGAGGGACTTAATTGTTTGTCTCCCTCTAACTGTCCGTCCGTCTGTCCGGATGTTGGTTTGCAGACGATAACTTGAGAAAAGATGGATTGATTTGAATGAAACTCTTTTTGATTTTAGGGTATTAGGTAATACAGAGTGGGATTGAGTTTGGGGTCGAAAGGTCAACTACGAAGGTCATTGTTACTAAAAATAGACGTATCGTCATTCTTTGGCTTTTAGTTGATAACTTGTGATAGGGTTGACCAATTGTATTAAAACTTTATGCAAAAGAAAAATTAAAACAAAAATTGTGAAAGCTGTGAAGGTTACTTAATACAATCGACATTTATCACCATTTTAGGGCCGTATCAAAGATGCGGGAAGCAAAGTTTGTCAGAATAACACCATAAGTCAACTGAACAATGTTCAAGGTCACTGTGGCAAAAGGTCATGGACAAAATTTAAATCTTTTCATGTGTTTACTGGCAATGTAACTAGAATGGTTAGATTTACATTTAAAGGTTAGACACAAAGCCGGGTCCTTTCTGACATGTCAGTGTTTTAGTTTGTTTCCAGATAATCACTTAACTGAATTAGGGATGACAAACTTGATTTAAACTTAATACAGTATTTAAGCACAAGGGAGGGCATATGAAGTTTTCCCACCTTACTCACTGGCTTTGCATCCGTTCTGTCAAGACACTGGTTTTTGGAGGGAAGACGTTCAATTGTTAAAATGAGACATCTGTTCATTGCTATCAAGGTCTATGTTTCTTACAAAATTTAATCAGCGACAGGGAAGTGTGGCATGTAACACTAACTGTAAGCTTGTTTGTTTGAAAGGTTTAAGATTTTTGTACTCTGTTAAGATAAAAGAAACCCACAATTGTTGAATATCATATATTTACGGTCAAATAGACCCAATTATGTTGATTCAACACTGTAATGGTCAAATAGACCCCATTACGTTGATTCAACACTGTAACGGTCAAATAGACCCCGTTACGTTGATTCAACACTGTAACGGTCAAATAGACCCAGTTACGTTGATTCAACACTTTAACGGTCAAATAGACCCCGTTACGTTGATTCAACACTGTAACGGTCAAATAGACCCCGTTACGTTGATTCAACGCTGTCACGGTCAAATAGACCCCGTTACGTTGATTCAACGCTGTCACGGTCAAATAGACCCCGTTACGTTGATTCAACACTGTAACGGTCAAATAGACCCCGTTACGTTGATTCAATACTGTAATGGTCAAATAGACCCCATTACGTTGAT